CTGGGAGGTATGCTTCCCATCCCCTTTCAATCTTGCTCTCCAATGACCAGGAAGTTGCTGATGTTCAGAGCACTGCTGATGCTCTCGGCCAGAGCTTTTCTTGTGCATCTAGCACTTCTGTTTCTTCCCCTGCCTTCTTGGCCATAAAGTCTCGGGCAGAGCGATCGCCTCTTTGTTTTCGAGCCGATCGTCTCTATGATTATAATCGCCCCTTTACAGTGGTGGAACTCAAACTTGCTCTTCATCGATCTGGCAGTACATTGGTCGGACCTGATGTTGTTCATTATGAGATGTTGCGCCATCTCTCTCTCCTGCCTCTCTTGTTATTCTTCTGGTTATTTTTAACTGGATCTGGCAGGAGCATATTTTTCCAGATGCTTGGTGCCAGGCTATTGTCCTCCCTTTCTCTAAACCTGGGTAGGATCCCAAGATTCCTTCTAATTATCATCCCATCACTTTGACTAGTTGTCTTTGTAAGGTTCTAGAGAGGATGGTTAATGCTCGTCTTGTTTGGTTCCTGGAAACAAACATGCTCCTCTCACCCACCCAATGTGGGTTCCGTCGATAGCGGTCCACCATGAACCATCTGATTCGACTTGAAACGTCAATCAGGAAAGCCTTTCTCAAGAGTGAACACCTTGTTTCTTCGATCTTGAGAAGGCTTATGACATACGTGAGATATGGAATTTTGCAGGACCTCCACTCCTATGGTTTGCGTGGCCATTTACCCATTTCTATTCACAACTTTTTACTGAACAGGCAATTCCAAATCCGTGTGGGTTCAACTCTTTCCCGTTCCTTTCCACAGGAACTTGGAGTCCCTCAGGGCTGTGTCTTGAATGTCACACTTTTTAGTGTTAAAATTAATGCCATCACAACTAATCTTCCTCCGACTGTTGCAGATGGGCTCTATGTTGATGACTTTCACATCTCGTGTCAGTCGTCGAACATGAGGTTTATTGAGCGGCAGCTTCAGACTGCCCTCAATTGGTTGTTGACATGGACCACTGCAAATGGTTTTAAATTTTATTTTTCCAAAACCGTTTGCATGCATTTTTGCCACCAACGGGGTCTCCACCCCGATCCTGAGCTCCTTCTTGGTGATATAGTTATTCGTGTGGTCCCTGAGGCAAAGTTCTTGGGGCTTATCTTTGACCGTGAGCTTAGCTTCATTCCACACATCAAACAGCTACGTGTCAAGTGTGCAAGGGCTCTGAACATCCTCCGTGTCCTCTCTTCCAGCTCTTGGGGAGCGGATTGATGTTCTATGCTCAGGATCTATTGTGCTCTGATTCGATCCAAACTGGACTATGGGTCTTTGGTCTATGGTTCTGCCAGGACCTCGGCCCTGAAGATGCTGGACTCCATCCACCATCTGGGGCTTTTCGCACTTCACCAGTCTAGAGTTTGTACACTGAGTCCCATGAACCTTCTCTTCACCTCCGTCGTTTGCAACTTTCTTTACAATATGCTACTAAGCTTCGATCCTTACCATGGCATCCCACCTGGGATTGTGTTTTTCTTCCTAGGTGGGCAATGCTCTTTCAGAACAGATGGTCTGCTATTCTTCCGTTTGGCCTTCGTATCCGGGCACTACTGGCTCAATTGGGTCTGGCATTGGATGACATTGCTGTCCTCAATGATCAACCCATTCCACCATGGCTGATTACCATCCCTTCCTGTGACCTTTCCTTGAGTCATCTGGGGAAGGCAGATACTCACGATTAGAAGTACAGTCTTCTTTTTGCTGAACATCTTTCGAGCCATTTACACAGATGGTTCGAAATTGGGTAACTCTGTAGGTTCTGCCATGGTTTGCTGTGGCTCGGTAGTTGCTCGCAGGATCCCCTCTACAGTTTCTGTGTTCACTCCCAAGTTGTATGCTATTTCTCTTGCCCTGGATCATGTAGAAGCTATGCAGTACAGTAATTGTACTATTTACACTGATTCTCTTAGCTCTCTACTGGCCCTGGAATCGCTTAACATTAGTTCTCACCCTGTTCTCATTGATATTCAACACTGATTGGCCCACTTTTCTGTATCTTCTGTTTCCATCCAGTTTTTCTGGATCCCTGGCCATGTCGGTATTCACGGGAATGAGCTCGCTGACACTGCAGCTAAGTTCATCTGCTCTGGTGCCATCACAGGCGTGCCTGTCCCATACATGGACTATGGTCCTGTCTTCAAGGCGCGGCTTTGTGCCAGTTGGCAGTCGACTTGGAGTGAACAATGGCATAACAAGCTTTTCCAGATCAAACCTACTGTTGATCTTTGGCCGTCTTGCTTCTGTAAGGATCGGAAGGAGGAAGTAGTCCTGGCAAGGCTACGCATTGGTCATAGTTTTTTTAACCCATCGTTTTCTTTTATCAGGTATTGACTCACCAAGTGTAGCCATTGTGACACTCAAGTCACAATAGCCCACATTTTACTGTCGTGCCGTTGTTACGACCGTGAGCGGCGACACCATTTTAGACACATTTTTTCTAAAAGTTTACCCCTGATGCTGGACAGTGTAATTAGTAATGGTGATACTGTCCGATTAGATTGTATTTTTAATTTTTTACACACTATAGGTATTTTTAATTCTATGTAAATCTTTTACCGACATGTATTGGTTTTAACTCGCTGTATTTTTACATTTTACTTTAATTTACTTTCATTGTTTTTACCAGTTGTTTGTCGCAGATAGCCTTGCTGCTTTGCGCCATAAAGCACCAAACCAACCAACCAACTTTCAAAATGTGCTTTTTTGAAATTCATAACCAAAATATCATTATTCCTTAGCTCTATATGCAGCAAAACATTGAATCTAATAGAACAGTGATCAGTTGTTCTCCAGTTTCCACCCTCTCAATCATTTCTATATTTGATGTTAACATTAAATCTAAAATGATATTGTTTCTAGTAGGTTCCTTGACTAATTGGTGAAGAAAACCATCTTGAATAGTTTCCAAAAGCCTTTCTCACTCAGAGTTTGACTCTAGCACTTCCCAATCTATATGCCCAAAATTAAAATCTCCCATAATTATGACTTCATTAACAGCTGAAATCTTAATCTCATTGCAAAGTTTCTCACTAATTTCATCAGCATTATCTGATGATCTTTTTAAAAAATTCTCATTAAAAGCCTTTTCCCTCTATATCCAGTAATAGAAACCCGAATGGTTTCAATCTCCTTTCTATTATCTTTGATATCCCCAACTTCAACAGGGTGTAACTCACATTTTACATATAAAGCCACTCCTTCTCCCCTCTTTAATAGTCTATCCCTATTAAATAGCCTGTAAGCCTGTATTTCAAAGAAATTTCTGTCATCAAAATCATCTATGTTTCAATTATTCCCATTATATCAAAATCCTCTATTCCTACCAGTGCTCTAAGGTCATTTGTTTTATTTTTTATACTTCTAGCATTACAATACTAACAATTAAGCCTATCCTTACAACTACTTTTATACTCATTTCCTATGCTAAACTTTTTTTCCACCTCTTATTCTTTTGCATTTAGTTTATCCTGGCCCTCAACACTGTCTAATCCTAGTTTAAAACTTCCCTTACAGCTGAGTTAATAGCCTTAGCAAACAAGCCAGTCCCTACTCTATTTAAATGTAAACCATCCATTCCAAAAAGCTCCCTTCTTCCACTGAATTGATCCCACAAGTCCAACCAGCCAGTCTGCTTATCTTTACTTACTAACCTAAGCCGAGCATTTAGCCCTAGTGACCTACTTATAACTTTATCCACAAAGTTAATTCTGAGCACTATCCCAGACAGAGTTATGTCCTTTTTCTTTAAACACCTTTATCAACCCCTTGTACTTATTAATTGGCTCCTCCTGCTCTGTCAGTTATATAATACAATGCTATGGAAGAAAAGGATCTTTCTGTTTTCATTGATCAGCCTTTTAAATGTGCTTTTGCTAGTGGCAGGGCAAATAGGATTTTGGGTTGTATTTACAGAAATATTAGATATAAGTCTAAAAGAGGTTATTTCATTGCATTTGGAGTATTGTTTTCAGTCTTGGACCCTTTACCTTAAGAAAGGCATTGAATTGTTGCAAAGAGTTCAAAAGAGGGTTACTAGGATGATACCTGGCATTGAAAAGTTGACATACAAGCACAGATTAATATCACTGATATTGTTTTCTCTTGAAAAAAAGAAGAGTTAGAGAGGGGATCTGATTGAGGTGCTTAAAATTATTAAAGGAATTGGTGTTATCAATGCATCATTTGTTTTTCATATTCAATGGTGAGAATGGCAGGGCCACAAATATAAATTTTGGCAGGGTAGGGGTAATCTTCAGCTTACAGTTTTACTTTCTGACAGGGTGGTTGGTCCTTGGAATGGGTGCTATCAAATGTAAATGCAGTAAGTTTTGAAGGAGTTTAAGGGAAAGCTGGATAAGTATTTAAATGATGAGGGCAGGATTTTTTTTATGTGGATGAGACAGCTTCATTGGACAACAGGTCTCTTGTTGTCTCTTTAATGTTATGTTATTTAATTGGTTTCCTCTAAATGTTTTTGAGATTTTTTCTGATTTGTATCATTTAAGCCTAAAGCACTATTTTATTGTTAGATTTAAAGGGAATAGCTTTAGTTGTAATTAGATAGCTTATACACACTTGTTTTTAGATTGAATTGTCAAACAAAAGTTATATATTTTTTTGCAATATATCTGAAAGTTATAAAGCTGATGAGTAATTAAAACTTGTATCTCTAAGGATGATTAGTATTCGGTTGTTGTCCCCTGTTGGGAAAATGGTAAATCTTCAGATTTACATTGCTAAAATCAGATATCCTATTTCCCTCAGTTGACACAGCAAATAGCCCAATGTGGCTTTGCTATAACAAAACACACACAATACTTGGTTACATTCACACATTATTAAAGGAAATTGCACACACTAGCAACACTTGTTTTACCCCTTATTTAAGGTAGATGTGAGATGTTGTCAGTATGAGTACATTTTATATTTAAATAAATTATTTTATTTGTGGTAGGTTCAAGTTCCTTTTGACACTTATTTCAAAGTTGATACCCTGAAAAAATATCACAGAGTCATGACAATGGAAGATTTTATGAAAAACCTTGCTCCTGTTGTGTGGCCTCCAGGAAAAAGAACAGGTATTGAAGTTTTCATTAGAAAATCTGTACAAAGACTTTAAGAATGGTAAAATATATTTTTACTGTATACAGGATTTAGACTAATTCACATTTTAAAAAGTCCTGATGAAAAATAACAACTTAACATTTTTTAAACTATTTTTTAACATTTAACCATACAGGGGTGTCCTGCTTATTCAATGTTAGATTTGTTAATTCCAGTAAACTTCTTTATTCAAAGATCTCATTTAGTACTAGCTATGAATGAAATGTAAGATTAATGTTTAGGAATTCTTTTTCTGGAATGGACAGATAACTAGCACTCATATACATGTGAGAACTAGTGAATCGTTGGAAAACAAGACTGCTAAATGGTCATTAATACGTTGACGAAGTCATCTAGTGGAAAAACTGATGTACCCTTTTACACATAAAGGACAGGTGAACTGATAACCTTTTAGTGGTTTTGGAATGTTACCCTTTTTAAGAGAATAGATTATGCAGTTTTGTTTGTCTTATAAAATTTACCCAAGTTTAATCTGGGGAAACAGTTTTTTGAAAAGTGAAAAAAAAAATATTGACACAAAATAACTCATCTGTAGCGCATGGCAGGGTTAACAATTCAGCACTTTTCAGTAGTTTGAATTGCAATCAAAACACTATACTGAAATAGTTTGACAACTATTTTCTGGAAATTTATATTGATGAATGACAAAAGATATTATTTTTTAGAAGTATTGTTTGAAAGTTCAAAGAAACAACACTTGAAAACAGTGCTCCAGCTGTGATTGAAAAGGGGCAGGGTGCCAAATTGGAATTAGGACACATCCATTGTGTGCAAACACAGCTTAAGAGGGCACAAATTAGGAATGCAAGGTCAAAGAACTAGACACCAAATATAAATTCACACCTAAGAACAAGTTGAACATCACCTAGAAAAGCAAGTTTAAAACACAAAAATTTCATATTATTGTTACATCTTTATTCTCATTCACAGAAATACATTATTTCATAAAGCATATATTATAAAAAAAATAAAGTAAAGTAATGAAAGAGTAAAAAAGGTGAAACTCTGAACCTGGGCTTTTTCAAAAGGTAGATTTTTCCAAAGTGCTTTGGTTTAGGGCTTTCTCTTTTTCCTTATTGTATGTCCCAATAAATAATGTTCTGGATAAAATGATAACCATTCTCATGATCAATTCAGACCAATTACATGTTTGATTTGTAATATTTATTCCATTATTATTGTCAACATTGAAGAATAGCCTGACTGAGTGTGGAAAGCTTGTCATCAACATATTTAGTGTAATGTAAGGGCTTAAATGCAGAAGGTCAATTGTATAACAAACAATTTTCAAAATTATATAATAAGAAGCTTGCCAGACTAAAGGCTAGAGAGGAAGACATAGCAATGCCATTAATCTGTTTGTTATTGAAATTAAAATGTGAATATTTTGTATCAAACTCAAGCAGTTACTTAACGGTATTTTTAGTGATGCTTTGTACAGTTTTTGATTCTGATGTCCAACTTATCTTTGTTTTTTCACTGTTGATCTTGTACCTTAATGTTGTTCAAAATGCTGAGTGAAAACACAGTCATTTGTTTCCACTTTAATTTACCACTTAATCTTGCATATGAAATCTCATCACAAGCCACCTGTTATTTGTATAAAAATCAACTTAAGGGGTATACCATAGACATTTTTTAATAACAGTGGCTGTGCCTTGTCATAGATAAAATGTAAGAAAAATTAACATCTCTGGATTATTTTGATCTGTGTACTTTTTAAAACTGTTTCAAATCCATGAGATTAAGATTCTTTTGGGAAACATTTTGTGAAAAATTAGAATTAGTATACTTTTGTAATTACTCCTACTACATATGGTTATATTTTCTAGTAAATCACCTTTTATTATTTTTATAGCAGTGTTTTAATCTGTAAAATTTGTATTTGCTCAACTGCTACTATTTCTGATTACTCGTGTATTTCTGAATTTAAACTTGATATTAGATGAAATAACTATGTTTTTAGCTATTAACAGAGTTTATAGTTTTTGCTTTATTGTGTTATCCATCCACCTGCATGAACCTCTCAGAAAAAGTTGTTATGGGAATTATAATTGAGGCTTAAATTTTAAACAAACGTTGCTCTTCATAAATATCAACAATTAACAAAACTTCATTCACTTTATCCTTGAAACAGCTAGGTAGTTTAGTATTAATTTGTAAAATGCTCCATAGATATAAACGGTAATGCTTACTATGTATGTTGTATTTAGTTTAGAATGCTTCTGAAATGTATAATTAAACAAATAAATGGTAAAAAAATCCTCAGCCATCTATTTTAGATCAATTTGAAATCTTTCTAAGGTAGTTAATTTACTTTTCATATGAGTTTTGTAAATATTTTTACTGAAGTTTCATTTATAGGCAGTTAGCACTGACAGAATGACCAATAAATAAAGCATTACATCCTGTTCTATTTTAGTGCATTATCAGAAAAATTCTATACATATTGTGATCTATGCAATGTCACGAAGAGAAAAAAGGGGATAATTTTCACACCAAAAAGGTCATAGAATCCTCTTTAACCTCTATGTTTTATAGTAATCATAAGACACTAGATAATCATATATACATTTTTCTATATATTTTTCCAGTTTTTTGCTATAGAAGTCGAGGAGAAACAGATGATTGCAATGCCAAAGAAGGAAATCCATTTGGACCCTTCTGGGACACCTTTAATGTAGACTTTGATGATTCTGAATTTTATGGCCCTCTTCATTATGATGTTCATCATCATCAGATGTCCAAGAAGTGGAATGAGAAGTAAGTTTTGTTACAAGTTGTCTAAATAGATTTAAATTGTCTGAATAATAATGCATTGTTTTGAAAATAACAGTAAATACATGATGCTAAGCATGACTTTACTTATCCAAAATCACCAATACAACGTGTACTCATTGTTGGTTTTCTGGATTCTGATGTTTATGTTTTAAACACCAAAGTGTTAGAAATGATAAAAACAGCTTTTCATTTTTTTAAAAAAGAGAGAGAGATGAATTATTTAATGCCTTCTTGGTCAAATGTGTTTTGTATATTTTCACTGTTGAGCTATTTTGAAAAGATATTACTTCCAGTTATCCAACATGAATAGGTATTAATGAAACATCTAAAACTATAAAAAAAAATCATATCAAAGAAAGTTATGTTGTCAGAGTTATTTGTGTTCAAATGAAACAGTTTTAAAACATACATAGAAAAACTAGTGTAAAGCTGTTAATTTTGTTTTTCCAAAAATTTTTAAATAAAGGGGATTTGCATAGTAAAAGTAATATTAGCTTTTAACTATATGAACTCATGATGCTTGGAAAGCATGGAGTATATTTTAATCATTTTACGACATTATATTCTTTGATTTTTATCACTCAACTCATATGCTAGGATACATTTTTATGATTTAGTTGCTGTTGCTCTCAAACTATTAGGCTTTTACACAAAGATAACTTGTGTTGAAAATGTAATATTAATTTTTTTAAATATATGAATTCATGAGCTACTAAAGTATGTATTATATTTTAATTACTTTCATTTATCTCACAACACTATATTCTTTGGTGTTTATTGCTCAAAACATTTGCCAGAATATATTTTTATACTTGTGTTTTGGTTTCCTGTTGTTCCAGTGTAATTATAAGAGGTAAAGTTGTATAGCAGACATTATATATATATATATATTTTTATATGAACGTTTTATAAAGGATAATTATCCTTATATAAGGTACCCTCCAGAGAAGTTCCTCGTAATAGCATTCACGGGGGCTCCAGCCAGTTTCCCTGTCCAGATAGAGAATCGAGAACTACACAAGTACTTAGAATGGAGTGAAACTGTTAATGCTGCAGCTAATACTTTCGTTAAATCAGTTATGCCAAAAGGATCGTATGTAGCAATACATCTCAGAAATGGAATTGACTGGGTAGGTTGCTTTAAGGATATTTACTTGATGTGCAAAATGTCATTTGAAAATGTTACTGTGAATTACAACATATGGTGATTCTATACTTCAAAAATAGGGGTTCAGTAAATGCATGAGGTGGAAAACGCAAGACCGAACACATAATTTCCTGCATTCAGATCTATGACTAAATTGAATTTATAATGTCAAATTTTGCCGTATTCATGTAACCAATTTGTGATATAAGAATATTATGATGGGAGAAAAAACAATGTGTACAAGTTAAAGAAAAATTTTAAGTAGTTTTAAAAAAAATGTATAGCCACTTGTGACATATCCCTTGATTGTAAACATGTCAAATTATAAATTAAGTAACAAACATATGCTATTTATATTTAATTGCAAGAATAAGGGAAGATTTTTGACAAAAAAAAAGTTGTGATAAAAACTGAACAACCTTGCAAGTTGGGAGTTGCAAATTTTAGCTTTTTAATTTTTTTAATAAAGCTTTTGAATGGGTTTTAAAAAAGAAAGGCAAACCTTTGAGAGTTTAAGGCTAGCTTTAGTACCAGAGTTGAAAAAATTTTGAATGTTCAAATTCTACTTTTATGAGATTTTTCTGTTAGACGAATTTCACTCTTGAATCAAGTGTGAGAACAAAATAACAATATAATGATGACAAAACCTTGTCGAAACATTGTACATTTGCTGTTATGTTAAACTTATATTAAAGTTTTTCTTCATTACCCATTCAAGCCGTCTCCAGCCATTATTAGTCTCAAAGTGGGTTCCTCATCATCAAATTTGAAAAAGTGACTTGTGTTTGCTAATGCTGTAGATGTAGACATCATGCTCAGCACCTATCTGTATATTTCATTTACAATAAATTCCTGACAGTGCAATGTTGGCATGGTAGACTTATGACTGGAGTCGTATATCACATTCTTTCCGAGGAAGTACATTTATACAGCAAGGTTGTTAAATGAAGTATAGCCTAAGGAAATAATGTTTCAAGCATAAGAACTTTCAATATTCTCCATGATATTTATATTTTGAAATGAAAGTAAACTCTTTAATAGTTTTCTTGGTGAAATGGTTTAAATTTTTCTTTTTCAGACCCGTGCTTGTGAACACGTGCAGCACAGCCCTCTATTGTTTTCAGCTCCTCAGTGTCTTGGCTATAACAGTGAACATGGCAAAGTGACTAAAGAAATGTGTTTTCCATCAAAAGAAATAATTCTTAGACAGCTGAAAAGGGTGGTAAAAGCCATGAAAGCTAAATCTGTATTTGTGGCTTCTGATAATGATCACATGATAAATGACATCAACAAGGCACTACAAAACTTAAAAGTAAGAACTTGATTTGTAATGTTCAAAATATAAAAGCTAGAGTCATTTCATAACCTAAGAAAAATTATTATTTCTGTAGTTTTACAAAAATACTGGGCATGAGTAGGAGAAAATTGATTTTATGTGAAAATTTTATGAGCTAATAAAATCAAATTTTGTGCATGCATATGTATGTTATATATTTTTTACAATTATTGTTAGTTTTGTTTTGTTTTTACATCCAAAACTGCACAACCATAAACAAAAATAAAGATTTCTTAGCTTGAATTATAATTATACAACTTGATATCACTTTGTGTCTGAATTTTATTAGATATGGTGGAATTGTAGACTTTTATTCAGAACCTGACATTAGGACTTTTTTAATTTCTAATAAAGAAGACACTTCATGTCCTTTTTCTTTCACAAAACCTGTTTACACGAAAGCAGTTTACAGCTAATGAAATATAAATTTTTGTAATTGGAAAGTAGAGCAGATTTAGTATTGATTATCATTAATGGCTTTATGCTGTAGATTGAAGAATGTGTTTTTGTCTTACTTAAGTGCAAAAAATAAGTAATATTTATTACATGCAAGTACTTTGTCTTTATGTAGAAATAGTGTAAAATATATATACATATAAATCTCGTTACATGCGAATGCAAAAACTACATAATCACTTCAAGAATTTGTGACACTACAGTTTTCTTAGCATTTTGTACTCAAGTTTCTTTGTTATATGTTAGGGCCAGATGTGGTCTAGGGGTTAGCATGCCAGACTGTAAATCCATGATTAGCTTCCTGTTGCCTTAAAATTACACTCCATACTTTAGGACTGTGGGTTATTATAAAAGTGATGGTCAATTCTTAGAATTCGATTGGAGTAGCCCAAAAGTGGGCAACTTGCACTGTTAACTAACAGCCTTCTCTCTTGTCTGTCAATTCAAAATTAGGGAAAGATAGCATGGACAGGTTTTGTGTAGCTTTGTACATATATCTGAAAGAAACAAATTGTTTTGTATTGGGAATTGAATCAGAAGACACTTGCTAACTGATTTATGTTTACATATTCTTGCGTGAAGTCCACCTCATTACACAGACTCACATTATTTTGAAATCTTTTTGTATAAGCCTAAATCAGTTAGCAAGTCTCTTGTTTGCCCCAATTATACGATAATGGCAAAATATTAGCTTAAATAAGACCAATTATATTTTCTGGAGTAATAGTTTGTGTTTTGTTTATCTTTTTAACAAAAAGTACTTTGGGTTAAAATGTATCAATCTCACTACATTTGTTAGTTTCAAATGCTTATACACATTTGTTTCCATTCTGGATTATTATAGTTGTTAGATCTCAGCCCACATTTTGCATCATCTGTATTAATACTTAAAATAGTGCATTAGAAGTTAGCTCTTCAGTTGATTTTATTTCATTCTTACTCTCTTTTATGTAAAAAAATCTAATTTTTGAAAATTATAGATTTTTCAAGTCATTCATTTATATTGGAAATTTTCAACTTTGTAAAATTTTAAAGAAACCACTAATAAGCCTTTTCCTATAAGTAAGTCTAATTTGAGTGAACATATTGTGATTTTAAGAGGAAGAAACAAATGCAAAAAAGGGTGACACTGCTAAATACTTTTTAATGCTGTAAACTAGTGTATCTTGTCCTCCATTCAGAGCTACCAAGGGAAAGCAAGCTAACTCAGAAAGGTCAAACTATATACTACTCCCACAGATGTGGTCTTAGTGCATTTATTGATAGCATGGAATATTGTTAAAATTATCTTATTGCTGCTCTTATCTAGACCATTTAGCTTCTTCAAGATAATGATAAATTTAATAAAATATTAGTTTTCATCTAAAAATAAATAGTATCATCCAAATATAGGCTGTTTGTCAACTCAACTCTTGCTCTTTTGTAATTTATGTTAAAAACTACAAGTCAAACTTATTTTTATGTGGTTGGCTCATGTTTTTTCAAAATGATAATCAAATCTTTTACTATCTTAAAAATGTTGCATTGAGGAAAGATTGACATGTTTATTTTTTTATTATGTATATACATATTAATCCTAATATTTATTCTTACTAACATAATTTTAATTTTCATTACAATTCAATAACAAAAAATGTGCATATGTTTCTTTTCTTAATTTGTTACAGTGTTTGTGAGATTTAAATAAGTATTTATTTTAAGCACAGCCATGAGTTGTGATTATTTATTGGAAACTTGTGTCACAGTAAAGTTCAAAATAAATAGATATTTTTTGCCAAAGTTAATTAGTCTCATAATAATGTGTATAAGTGAGTAAATGAATTATAATAGATGTTAGTTTGAGATGAATTTTCTCACATATTTTATAATGCAGTTCCATGAACCTTAGATAGGAAAAGTGTAAATAAAATTTAAATATTTATTTGAATGAACAGTGTAAATTCCTGAAAATTTGTAAATCATATTTAATATTTTCAATTTTTAGGTTAAAGCTTACAAGCTAGACAAGTCCGATCCACATGTTGATTTAGCTATTATGGGAAGAGCCAATCATTTTATAGGAAATTGTGTGTCTTCTTTTACGGCTTTTGTAAAACGAGAGCGAGATGTATTTGGATTACCATCATCTTTCTGGGCATTTCCACCAGAGGGGTCTGGTTCTAGTAGAAATGCAGAAAACCAAAGCAATCATGATGAATTTTGATTTTCAAAAGTAATGTGCTATGCACTAGGTATTACAAAAACTGTTATCATGCTACATGTATTTAATAATAGAGTCACCATGCACTTATATTATTACACATTTCACCCAAGTTATATATGTGCCTCAGTTACAAGTTATTTTTTTACATGAATGTTATTTTTTTTTCATTTTGATCTGAGATAAACATATATTTAAATTCAAGGGATTTTGTTTCAGTTAAATCATTGACTTGTAATAATGAAGAAAAATAATGCTTTCATTCCATGTTGGTTAGTCTGTCTAATAGCCATGTAAGAGTGAATGGATGTTTGTGTTTCATATATTATTTTTAAACATCTATTTCCTTTAAAAAGAAAGAGCTCTTTCTAGGTTATTTTAACCAGGAGTTCATAATATTACATAACACAGAAAGGTTATTGAACATATTTGTAATATTTCAAGTATTCTGAAGTTAATGTTATAGAATCTTCAGTGGCATTTGCTTTATCAAAAACAATTTCTAAATATATTATCTTTTTTAGTGTGCAGTTTTACACCTAATTTTCAAAACATTAATGTTTTTTAGTTGTATAATTGATTTTTTTAATAAATTTATTGTTAAAATCCTGAATGGGTATCTTGGTTATAAATGATGTGTTAATAAAGTCCTATTAAATAGCCTTTGCTGTGTGACTTGCTGACCACATATTTGTAATGAAAGTTAATTATTGTCAGTTTATTCTAAGTATATTTTGATATAATGAACAACAAAAAAATATGGAATTAAAGCTTGTAATAACTTAAGCTTTATTCAACCATGCTTTTAAAAGTATTTAAATTAGATGCAGAATAAAAATAATCTTACAAAGCATCCAAATCAAAGGCTTTTGTATTTAAAGGATGCTTCTTATGAAAAAATTGCCTAACAGATTGTTCAGTTCTTTTAAACAACTCTTATGGCCATTAATAGTGTTAGAATAATTTTACACAAGGTTACATTCAATAATTTGTTTTTCATTTCAATCATCTAAATTTCTACAAGAACCTAATGTTATTTAAACTGTCTATAAATCAAACAACTTCAAATATAAATATGCTTTCTAAGTCAATAGAAAGCTTTTAATAGAGTCTCAAACATGATTTTTTAAACTTGATTATTTCATTATTTCATGGATTCTTAATAACTATAACTAAGTTAAACCTATTTTGCCTTGATAATCATGGCTTTTGTTTTAGATAATATAGTAGACAAGTTAGTAATATGTCATAAAATAATTTTAATATTAAATATCCACAAAAACTTCATTTGTTTCTGAAGTATTGAACAAGATTAATCTCGTTGGTAATTTATATATTTTTAATTATTTTATTTTTCAACCTCAACATAAATAACTCCTTTTTTTTATTTAGGTATCACATCTATATCAAAATTAAATAGTTAAGTGTGAAAATGATGCTTAGAAAAGCGTATTTGAAGCTGTGACAGTTACTAAAGCTTGTAGATAACTCTTGGCATTGTGTTTAATTGTATTCATGGAAGTGAAAGTTCAAATGCATAAAATGCTTACAGGATTTGTTTAATTTCAGTGTAGGGTTCCTTTGTTGCACTCAGGTTTTGATACAATACAGATTATTGGGTGCTACTGTAGCATGTGGTCTACTAAGATATTTACACTATAGCGTGCGATCTACACAAGTACTCTCATCATCACCATTTTGATGATTCACTAAAACATAATTTCTTGCTAAATAATTTATATCTATCCACGTTTTTGTTCAGCAAATAATAATAATTAATAAATTGTGTATTCCAAAGGAGTACCTTAAATTTAGGTTATAATTGTGCTGGTTTTGATTGTTGGTATTTATTTGATTCCGATTATACTTGCCCCAAAAATGTTATGTAATGATATTTTGTACATTATTAGTTCAGAAGTGTTATTTATAGCAAATGGCACCAATTGCAAATAAACAAAAGTTAACATGGTGATGATGATAGTATCTGTGTAGACCCCACACTATAGTAGCACTGATTATTTTAGTGTTTCCTTTGTTGCACTCAAGTTCTGACACAACACAGATTATGTTTATCAGTAAACAAGCAAGTTATTCTTGCATTTACTTAATTAATCACTGGGAATTATAAAAATAAAGAGTGCCAGAAAACAAGAGTAGCCTATAATCTATGTAGCAAGAAAATATCATGCAAGATATTTTATGGTAGTGTGTCGTATCAAATTCTGGAAATAAAGGATAGTCTTTCATAGAAAATGAAACATTTTTCTTTGCTATTTTAGCAACTTCTCTCATTACTAAAATATATTTTATATGTACACATTATAAAGGTTATGAGGACCAATCTTGTTTACATTTTAATAAATATTCAGATGTTCAAGTTGTATCCGTGATACATTTTTATGTTCACTGTATTTTTTTTTGTTTGTTATGTTTCTGATTAAATGTTAGATCTACATTTGTTGGTAACAAAAGTACCACCATCTTCAGCATCTGTTGCTGTTGTATTTAGCAAAATATTACTTAATAAAAGTTGCATGCAACAGTTATTGCGTATTCAAAAAATCTAAACTTACCATGTATATTTCACGATTCCTCAAAAGAAATGCCAGTAAAAGTATTTTGGGAGTAAGTAAGTGCCAAACACAGAAGAGAATTAGATAAAACATTTTACCGTGCTTCAAAAATAAACTATGAAAGTAAAGTTCCTGATCAGTGTTTGTATACCCAAACCAAAATTTAGACAAACAGGTGTACATGTTGTATTCTATCAGTCATCAAATTCTGATAAATTCTAAAGTGATATTTCTCATTAGCTTTGAAAGTAACTTTTAAATTTGTGTAACTTGCAGATACACAGTGGTATATTTCACAGTGCAGTGCACAACTATATATCCATGGAAACAATCAAGGTTCCACTCATTTATAGCATTTGACCAACATTTGTTCAAGTATGAGATTTATACATAGGACGTGTCTGTAGAACAGGGTTTGCTATTTTCCAGTCCTCTTTTTTTAGATAGTGAGTTGTTATTGTGATGTAACTTTCCATTGCTCTCGAAGTCTGTCCATCAGTAGTTGTAGCCATTGCTGAAGCTGTATTTAATTCCTTCAGTACTTTTGGTATCAGTGTTTTACTGAAATATGTTCTAGATAAAATGGCATACCTTGGTTCCAGCACATCATCTTTGTAAAGCCAAGATTTTCAACAACAGAGCAAGGCCTCAGATCCTTTCCAATACTTTTTGTGATTAGCTGGGCTATAGAAGAAATAAAACTAAGTCTGGATTTGAAAGCAGCATATAAATCACTTTGACTTACTTTTCATTTTCTTTTCATACCATCTTTTAATATTTCAGGTAGAGTAGCCTTTAATTTCATTTTCATATCATGCTTGTTGTGTTACCAGTATAGTGCACATGTGTGTGGTATATTCAGTAAACTGCAATGGATTTATCAACAATCCTCCTACCTCAAACAGATTGTTTCACAGGAAAAACACACTGCTGACTACTGGTTAGGTGGAGCATTTTACAGTTCAATTTTCATGGTCCATTTTGTAGTAGTTTCTTATGTGTGGTTGGCCACCTTTATGAATCTCGTTTGAATGTGAGATGACTAAAATACTCAGAATCGTGCGAGGAGTCATGGGAAACAACATAGATGCACTCACTTTTAGGTTTTGGTCTGCTACGAACGTGTCATTGAAGTTCAAAACAGTATTTTATATGAAATTGAGATGTTACACTATTGTATCATAAGTTGTACCATAGCAAAAAATACTACAATATATATCTTATCAGTTAATTGTTTCACCCCTATTAATTATGTAAAACAGTACTGTAAAATTATTTAGCAAAAAGCTCTTAAAAATGAATTTTGTTAAAAAAATTGAGTCATCTTTCTTTTTCTTTTTTGAACTATATTCAGTTTTGACTACTGTCCTTGTGGTTTAAAGAGCTTGTCATCATATTTAAAATACTGCAATATATACCTTATCAGTTAATTGTTTCACCCCTATTAATTATGTAAAACAGTACTGTAAAATTATTTAGCAAAAAGCTCTTAAAAATGAATTTTGTTAAAAAAAATTGAGTCATCTTTCTTTTTTGAACTATATTCAGTTTTGACTACTGTCCTTGTGGTTTAAAGAGCTTGTCATCATATCGACTAACTATAGGGATTGAATTGTCTTCATTCATGAAGTGGAATTATTAAGTTACTGATTGTCATAATGACATAAGAAACAAAATGACCATCAACGGAGCTTGCCCCGTACTACTACTGAATTCATCAAGCTTGTTAAATATTATGATACTTACACACACTTTGGACTACAGAATTGAAAGACAACAATTTAAGGAAAAATATTACGCACATCATAAAAAATAAATAAAATGCTTATCCAGAGATCAATCAAACCAAAGCGTGTGAAAAACAAGGATAAAGGTTTTTTATTTGTAAATTACAAATATCTACAAGTTATGTTTTAAATCAGTTTTTAAACTAAGATATTATTTATAATGTTAAAAATATTTTACTTACAACATAACAATGATTTAAGTTGTTTTAAATTTACTTACTCTTCCCTATAAAGGAGTATGTAAATTCTATCATAAAAAATCACATGATAATAAGTTACGCTTAGCTAACCCTTCATTTTCAAGGATTAACCTGATCCTAGAATTAAAAAGAAAATAATAAGGCTGAAGAAGTGCCTTTAACAGGCATTCCAATGCCCCTATTTTACTACTATTATCAGATCCCCCTATTTTTGTTGAAAGTATCTTAAATGTTATTACTTCTCCATATTTTTGTTACCTTTTCAGGTTGATATTTTATAACAGAAATATTTTGAGTGGCAATCTGACTGATACAGATGTTCCAGGTTTCTGCAAGTTTTTTAGGTGTTGGGAGACTTTGATATGCATATTAAACATATAAAAATATAACAAACATGAACTTCTAGGTGAGTATCACATTAATTATTAAATATTTATTAACTACCATCCACCTGAATAAAATGTCATCTTATTGTCCTGATACTCTACTATTTTGGTATGTTTTTCTCTAACATTTGCCACACTTTGATTTCGTAGAATTAGCCCTATTCTTCCTTGGTGTGGGCATGTACTGATTACATAGTTTCATACTTAGTCTCTGCAGGCAATGGGTATTAGTGTAATTGATCCTTTGAACTTATTACATTGACCTATTTTACAAAGACTTCATTAAGTTCATAAATGGAAAAATATAGCATTAGATAGAGACTATGGTAATAAGGAATTTATTTCTTATGTCCTGAGGCTAAAAAAAAAAAACATAATAATCATTACTAAAGAAAAGCTGTTTTTAAATATACAAGTCTATTTAATTCCTAGTTTGAAAAAATATAATAAATCAATAGGATCTCCAAATCTTGTACACCGGGACAGAGAAATTTCATGCTGTAATTTTGTCTGTTTGTCAAAATGTTTATAAATAATACTGTATGCAAAAAATTTTAAGTGAAAAAAAAGAAATCGCCATTAACAATTATTTTTCACTGACACAAGTAACTCAGTTTACTTCTAAAAGCTATTAGAAGGTGTAATGAAGTGAATATAATATAAAATTATTTTAATGTACAGATTGGTTATTTGTCACAAATAGTTTGTGGATAGATACTTCATTTTTGGTAAAAATTTCATACTGTATATTCATATACTGTGGTTCTTTTTGAGCACTCAGAGTTTTCGGCAAAATTCCCACAACAGCTCCAGTGGTGATGTCCAGGATGACCACTGTGACCATGACCACAACCTTGGTAACCACCTAAGAGTTGCATAACAGAATCATATCAAACAATTAATAATACAGCTAAAACAATGCCTTAGCAGGAAACACACACACACATATAATGAAAAAAAAAAGAGGTAAATTAATTATAGTATTATATAAGTAATTTAATATATCATGAGAAAGTACACAAATATAGAATACTAGTACAGATGATGTTAGAACAAAAAGATAATAATAGTACACTAACATAAGACATAGAAATATAAGCTACTAGAAACAATTTCCTTCCTTCTATAAGAAAAGTTCTTCAGGTAATTATTTTTAATTTTGCACTATAAGAAATTATATTACTACAGATTATAATAACCTGTACAAAACACAGAAAACAGAAATTGATTTATAGAGCATTGAAACATAATGATTTCCTCCTGGAAAATAAGAGACAGAAAAATATTGCTTCAAATGGGAAGAATACAAGAAAAGCTACTTGTATAGGCAAGAATAATGGACTTAGAAACAAAAGAGTCTTAATACATAAAACAAATGTGCAACACCATTTCATGACCCACCTGAGTAACCAGGCACTCCTGGTGGCTCAGGGGTAAGTCCGAGGGCTTATCAGTGGGCAAAGCACAAGTAGCCTAACGTGTAACTTTGCATTTGACAACAAATTAAGTAGCCAAGGGGGGGGGGGTATTGTTATGTGCCTCACATTCTGAGAACCATTATGCAACAGAGATAATTTTTGGGAGGGGAAGGGAATGGTATAGATATAAATATAAAGACGTCATTAGTAATGAAGGAAGAAATTACTTTACAAAAGTATAGGGTAAAATTAGAACAAATATTTTTTTACGGTGATGCAATAAGATTACGTTAAGGTAAACTACTATAAAAATAAAGATATTTAGACTTTTTAGTAATAGCATAATTAATACCCTACTAAAAGACATCTTATTTTGAATAATAATACTAGAATATAAAACAAGTTTCTTTTTGACATATGTAGAAACATGAATTCTTAGTAGAGGGATTAAAAATGTCGTGAAGTTGAAAAATATATAAAGTGTAATGACTAGCACGGAAACATGAGGAATTAAACTTTGTAGTTGACCGGTTTTGGGAATTGATAAATATTTTATCCATGACGTTTTTCAGTTTCTGAACTGTTGACGACAACAGTTTATCACAAGGTTAACATGACAACAAGATATTTATACCAAACAATAATATAAAATGAAGCGTATTTTGGAAAAATAATCTCTAAAAGCCCAACGTCAGAAATAATTAGTTTCT